TTTCTTAATCTTTAATGTTTGCTGTATACAACGTGAATTTTACACACACATTCACATATTGAATTAAATTCGACGATCATTTATTTATTTTTGAGGGTAGAGATCTGATTGTTAAAAAGAAATTCTTGGAACACAGAAACGAGGAACAGCAGAGGCTTAAGTCGAAGAGGTTTGGACAGAGAATTGAATCATTATTCTTTTAAAGATAAAAGAGAATCGAAACGTCTCTATTATACATAGCAATCCTTCGTATACTTCGTTTTGTCTTATACACTCCGATTCTTCGAATCTTCATTGATTCGTTCGTATTGGCCCCTATTGTTTTTTTTTTCAAAGATTCTTAATATTTTACGAGCTTTTCCCGCAACAAAAAAAGAAGCAGCGGTACTGAGAAAACATCATAAATTTATGCGAAAATATTATTAGGCACTAACTAAGATCCAGCTTTGACCGAATAAAGCTCTTTTCGCTTTTTTTTTGTGTACGGAAAGAACGATTTTGTTGGAGGATCTAAAAGAATTTCGCCGAACGCAGATCTGAAAATAATTTTGTTGGAAATTTAAAAATGATGAGCATTGCTATAAAACGTTTTGATATTTTAACAATCAATTTGAATGTCCAACAAAATTATTTTGATGATCTAAAATTATTTTCAGATCTGTGTTCAGCAAAATTTGTAGACCTTCCAGAAAGATCATTCTTTCCGTGTGTTATTCACATATTGGCCTATATTTCTTATTAGATATATTATAAAGAACAAATTATTTTATAAAATTTATGAAATCTTTTTGTTAAACATTCGAAACTTGCGTGCCTCGCCGAAATTAGCCAAAGAAACTGCGACTGAAAAGAATTACGATTGGACTCGAAAGCATATCTACATATTATAATTACAATCGAACGATCTTACTGGAAGGTCTAAAAATGTTGCTGGATACAGATCTGAAAATAAGTTGTTGAAAATTGAAAAATGATGAGTATTGCTGTAAAATATTTCGATATTCTAGCAACTAGTTTGAATTTTCTACAAAATTATTTTCGGCTCTGTGTCCATTAAAATTTTTAGACCTTACAGCAAAATCGTTCTTTCCGTGTAAGTATCTCGCGTGATATATTATTATATTTATTATATAGTTCTTATATTCAACATAAAAGAGTGCAGTATCGAGAAAAAGAGGGAGAGGGAATAATCGCTTTCGCGGAAAAGACACGTGTCATCCCTCGCTTTGGACGTCGCGAGCCGCATTAAACCCGCCCCGGCTTTTTAATTAGCTAAATGAGGCGAGTCCGCCGCTCTGGTTCTTTTCCGCCGCGCTGACGCGATCGCGATTTGTGTGCACCGAGGATGGTGAAATTATTAAAGACGCCCGTCGATTAGCGGCGATGCACGGAAGCGAACGGCCGGAAGCAATCTGGGCGCGCGCTCCATTCCGCGCCACCCTCTGTATCTCCTCTCCTCCTCCTCCTCCCCCTTCTCCTCGGTCCCTTCGTCCGCTCACTATTTCCACGCAGTTTGTTCCCCGAAAAGAGGGCGGCAAAGGGAAAACTTCCCGTTTTCTCTGTTCCCTCTCCCACTTCCACCCCTCGCACTCTTCCACGCGTCCCGTCGACAAGTCGAACGATTATTGCCCGGATTATCGGAGCAATCTCGAAGCGATTCGCAATATTATCTGTGTTTACATACATCGCGCCCCTGTGTTTGTGAGCTATTTCCACGGCGGTTACAACCTCCTCCTCTCTCTCTCTCTTTCTCTCTCTCTCTCTCTCTCTCTCTCTCTCTCTCCTGTCCCGTCACGAGAGAAAGATAGAGAGAGAGAAATATGAGCAAGGGAAGGGAGGGCTTTCCTCCCAGCTCTTTTTCCCCCCGCGATCCCGGGAGGGTGTTTCATCACCCGGGTCAAACGGTTACGGGATTACCGGGGCGATCCGCGATGCGATTCGCGATATTACGCGTGTTTACACAATCGCGCCCTTGCTAATTCCACCCCGCGCGCGGAGACGAGGAACGGAGAATGGGACGGGGTGAGGAAGAACGGTGGAGGGATGGGGGAGATGGGAGGAGGAGAGGAGCCAAAGAGCAGAGAGGAGAAACCGTTCCTGGTTTCCGTCGTTCGAGTCTCGAACGGGATTACGGGATTACGGGGCCAATCTCGGGATACACGTACACGTATATACACATATTTATATATATATTCGCGCCCTTGCCCTTGCCCGACCCCTGGCCTCCCCCGTCCCGACCACGCCGCGCCCACCGCCTCTTCGTCACCCTTTCATCCTTCCTCTTCGCGCCGTCCTCGTCGAGATGTAGTCCTCCAACGCTATACGTGCCGATGTATATGCATATCCCCGCGTATATATGTAGAACGTAGCACGCATTAGCAGTTTCCCGAGCAATCACGAGCCGGAAGTCGTCGGCGAAATTATTAGTCCGAAAAGCGGATGCGCTTATATATAGGCTATAGGCGAGAAGCCGATACCCCGTTTTCCCCATGGCGCAACTCGCTCTCGCTCGGAAGTCGGCCTCCATCACCGCCGCCGATGAATTTCTCCTCCCTCGGGAGGAGAGATCTCACCCTTCCTGCCGCCGCCTCCTCCTCCTCTTTCTCCTCCCGTCTCCTCAATCCTTCCCGCACGATCGTCCGTTTCCGGGAAAGTTTAAATGGATCGCGCAATAATGTACATCTACATATCGCTCATTTGCTACAACAACGATATAGCTCGAGAAACAAAATTTCCCAGTTCGAATGTTTTAAATAATTAAAATTTTGTAATATCACTTCTAAATGTGATTTTGGTCTACCGATTGTAAAGGAACAAAAGTAGTTAGCTCTTCATTTAGAGAGAAGAAATCTCACCCTTCCTTCCGCCTTCTCCTCCTCCTCCTTCTCCTCCCGTCTCCTCAGTCCTTCACGCACGACCGTCCGTTTCCGGGAAAATTTAAATGGATCGCGCAACGATGTATATCTATACATATCGCTCATTTGCTACAACAACGATATAACTCGAGAAACAAAATTTCCCAGTCTGAATAGATGTTTTAAATAATTAAAATTTTGTAATATCATTTCTAAATGCGATTTTGGTCTACCGATTGTAAAGGGACAAAAATATTATTAGCTCTTCATTCAGTAGAGTAGAATTCTAATTCTTAATTAAAATTCTTTTTTCTTTGCAAACGGTTTAGAAACTTCAATCTTTGAGTTAGGTCGCAGTTATTGTTGACGAAATGAACGATATGTACTCTTGGCGTGCGCGACTTCAATTCAACGTTCGCGTTGAGCATGCAAATCGGGATCTCTCAGTTCTGTCGATCATTCATGGAATTTTGCAGGATTGTCGCGCGCAGCAGCCCGCCACGAGCCCGCCGCGACACGACCGCCTGTATCTTGAGTCCGCGGACGCGGACGGGGAAGGAGACGAGGGTAGCGGAGCGGTCGTCGCGCCTCGTCGCCGTCCTCGAACTGGGTCGTCGTCGCTTTGAAATTCAAAGCTAGACCACGCCGCGCGCCGCCGTCTCGGATTTAAAAGGGCCGGGGTGGCCGCCACCGTTTCGTCGCGCTCTCGTTGCGAGGAGCTCGGGTGAGATTAAACTCCGTTTAACAAGTCGGAAATTCCCATCGTCTGGAAGAAAAGAACGGCGGCAAGGCGAGAGGCGAAGGACGAAGGAGGAGGGAAACGAGAGTCGCGTGTCTTTCTGCCGGGGAAGGAAGAGGAGGATTATTCCGTAAGGTAGGCCGGAAGAAGAAAGGAGCCGGAAATTCGACGGAACCCCAGCTCGGGGAGAGGAGGCCTTTCGATGGCCGCGATGACGTCGATGTCGACGACGACGACGACGATGACGACGATGACGCCGGGATGGGAAACGACGCCGAACGATCCTTCCGGCACCTGAGTGCCACCCGATATACATATATAACACTTCACTCATCCCGGATTCCGGGACGAGTTATCGTAACAACGGACGTCCGTGGCATTCGCGATAACCGCGTCGGACATTTCGAGATCTTTCTTGAAAGAAGACTCCGGGAAGAATTCCGTGCTTGTCCATTTTCTTGAATCGACCTCGACATTCGTTCGGGGAATAAAGGAAAAACGAGAGAAAGAAGAGAGAGATAGAGAGAGAGAGAAAAAGAGAGCAAAAAGAACTCGTTGCGGGAAAACTCGAGCAGAGATAATATACTACAGCGTGAGGAATCCGAAGAACGCCCGGGGGCGACTCGAGAAGGTGATCGTGATAGACGCGAGATCGACGGTATACTCCCAGCCGGGATTACGTTCCGCTCTCTATTCGCTCGTACCCTTCCTCTCCCCCCCCCCTCTCCTCCGCCCTGGAGGGATGCCTAACGCGGAAAAGCGCACTCGATCGGTCGCGATTGAGCGATCGTGGGACGATCAAAAGGTACGCGGTCAGTGGTGCGCGAATTCCGGGATCGCTGCAGCTGGCGGGGAACCCCGCGGCCCTGCTCTTTCCCCGCGCGAATCGAGGAAGCGTCTGCCTCGGTCGCGTTGACCGTAGGTCCATTTCGGGAATTTCCTGCGGCAGCAGGGAAAAGTGCGGTGACACTCTACCAGCTACTGTAGAGAGTGGAGTCTCCTCCCGAATCCGAAGTCACAGGGAAGGGACGCGGCGATCGGACAATTTCTTTTTCACCGGACAATTAATCCCGTCAGCTCCGATGTTAGAAAATCGTGGATTCGACAATTTATCCGTTTGTTAACGAGTGGAACATTAGGGAGTCCGCGATTGCGAAGATGTAGAGGGTGAGAATTCGCGCGCGCGCGAGTGAGGGCGAGTGAAGGGATGGGAGACTCTTCGCTTCGAGACAGCTGGCTTCGCACGGCACGAGGAACTAGAAACTTGATCCCGACGGACGTAACGGGGAGCGAGGCGGACCGTGGCTCTTAGGATCTCCTCAGGATCTGCGGGACGAGGGGCGTACTTATGGGACTGTCAAGTGCGACGTGAGAGAGAGAGACGGCGCGCAATCAAGGCAGTTAAGATGCGCCAGCGTGTGCCTTGGCCGTTGCTGCTCCTGACCCTGTCGCTGCAGCGTTTAACGAGCCTGTCGACGGTGCGGTCGAAGACGCACAGCGAGGCGGTGCTGATATCCGGCGACATCGTGCTGGGCGGGCTGTTCCCGGTGCACGAGAAGGGCGGCGGGACCGCGTGCGGGCCCAGCATCTACCACCGCGGCGTGCAGCGCCTCGAGGCGATGCTGTTCGCCGTCGATCAGATCAATCAGGATCCGAACATACTACCGGGCGTCACCCTGGGGGTGCACATCCTCGACACGTGCGGCCGCGACACGTACGCGCTCAATCAGAGCCTGCACTTCGTCCGCGCGTCCCTATCCAACATCGACATCAGCGTGCTCGAGTGTGCGGACAAGTCGACGCCCAGGGTGAAGAGGACCGCGAGCGCCGGACCGATCTTCGGCGTGATCGGCGGCTCGTACAGCTCGGTGTCGTTGCAGGTGGCGAATCTGTTGCGGCTCTTCCACATACCCCAGATATCGCCGGCGTCCACGGCCAAGGCGCTCAGCGACAAGACCAGGTAAGACGGATTCCCCTCGAGGGGAAATTGGCTTTTTTTTAATAAATATTTACATTATTGGTTCAAATGTTGGCTCCCTTCGTGTTTGCCGAGTGAAATAAAAATGTTACAGTTCTAAAAGATAAAGTTGCAGAGGTCACCCAGAAGGACCTTTCTCCCCCTGGAAGTTTTTTTTATATTTTTTTTTTGCGCAGCTAAAAAAGCGATCTTATTTAAGATGGAATTTAACAGGGAACGGCAAAATGACGGAGAGAGAAACCGTGAGACAAGTTTTGCGGCAATCTAATAATCGTATAGATTCTTTAAATCCTGATCGACGATTCGAATTACAAATTCGCATTCCAATCGTTCGTTATCGAGTTTATTCAAGACATATTTCATAAATCCTCTGCTTTGCAATTCCGTATATTTGAATAATCAATCGATCTCTCCATTATTCTTCAGAATTTATAGCTTCCGGTTAAATTTTGATTTTTTCATGAAAAATTCATATAATCTTCTTTTTCAAAATTTAAGTTCGACCAATTAGTGACGCAAACAATCAATGATTCGTCCGATAAGGCTTGAGTTGTAATTAATGTGAGCATTTCGACATTCCCGCCAGGTGCCTGTTAGTTTGACATCGTTTGTCGATCTCATGTAATTGTCATTAGAAAACTTCCGATTACTGTTCAAACACTCGTTACGGGTGACTTTGATGAGTACGTATCTGATAGAAACGACCGTTTAAATGTAACTCAAGGTTGCACGATATCTAAAAGATATTAATGCCTTTTACCAATCATTAATCTTCCAAATGAATCTAGGAAATGAATTGTTAATAATTCAAAATTGATAACAGTAGACGCCTATTCAATTAACAACACTGAGGCCTCTTTTTTCACAAAAAACGGCAGTCTTTAAATTTCTTGCAACAGAAAAATAATATTATATGTTACACATATAACATACCCATAATTATATTAATTATATTTTTATACTGTACGTATTATATGTGTAAAATACAGGGTGGATACTAATTGTAAGTAATATAAATGATTGTAAAAAATGATTAGTGACGCAAATTCAAGATAAAAATTTCACATGATCGAAATACTTTCAAAGGGATTCAAAGATAATTTTTAGAAAAGAGTAAAATTTTTTCTTCACCTTTGACATCCTGTATCTTTGAAACTAAGCCGTTTTGGACGGGTGCAGGTCATATAAAATTTTCGTCTTGAATTTATGTAAGAAACCGCGTCTTAAAATTTTTTACATTACTTGATATTAATTTAATTTAGTATCCATATGTAGAATATATAAAAGTGTATAATCATATATTTAATATATATAATTCCTTTATAAAAATAAAGTACTAGTGCGCACTAGAAGTAATTTCGCTTATTACTTATCCAGCAATTACTTAATTAATGGGACACGACCGCGCGACGTGGCAAGGAAAAAGTAGTTTTCCTATCCCAAGATCTATCTACATTTCATTAAAAATTACAACTCATTATAACTGGGATGAGTAATGATACTACTAATGACACTACTGCGAATTTAATATCGACTTCTACACTGCTAGTCACAAGTAGTGGCACTATTCATTATACCAGCAGTGACATTATTAATGTTACTACTGTAGCTGGTAGTGCGCAATAGTTTATTTTTACGCGGGTATCGTAGATATTTAAATATCATTTAATTATTATATAGCATATATCGCATGATTATCATACATATTTAAATAAAATATCATATAATTGTCATATATTATACATATGCATAATTATCATACATACTTAAACAAAATATCGTATAATTATCATATATTATATATAGGATAATTATTATATATATTTAAATAAAACATGAATAAACGATCATGAGCAAAAACGATTAAATATCTAGCTTGACAAAACGAACGATTGTGAGTCTTAATTGAGTGCTTTCTGAATGTCCCGCTTGTTTGATCTTCAGGTTCGACTACTTCGCGAGAACAGTACCGCCGGACACCTTCCAGTCGATCGCGCTGGTCGACGTGGTGAAGAGCGCCAACTGGTCGTACGTCTCCACCGTGTACTCGGAGGGCAGCTACGGCGAGTACGGGATCGAGGTGTTCACGCGCGAGGCCACCGAGCGTAACGTCTGCATCGCCGCCGCGCTGAAGGTGCCCAGCGCCGCCGACGACAAGGTCTTCGATGACATCATTCAGCGGCTGAGCAAGAAACCGAACGCCCGCGCGATCGTCCTGTTCACCCGGGCGGAGGACGCCCGCGGCATCCTCGAGGCCGCGAGACGGTCGAATCTCAGCCAGCCGTTTCAGGTCGGTGCCGGGGAGACCAGTTTTATTTGCAGGACCCCCTCAATACGGCTGGCAACTTGGGACCAGCATGGCATGGAACACCCCGTGTCTTTTCTCCTTTTTATTATTGATTAACAATTATATATTTCTCGATCGGTTTCTTCAAAGTCCAAGCGTTCACCTTGTGGTCTTTCTTGCGCAAAGTCTCCGTGTTGCCAGCAAGTTGTTTCTCGAAGCGCGATCAAAGTTATATTTCGAAGTGCTATCTATCGTGGTTTTCTCCCTATAAAATGATATTCCTATGACCTCGTGTCTCTCCATTGTACCTTTATCATTATTGTCTTTTCTATTCTGTCGAAACAAAAAACGAGATTCCGTAATATGCTCCCCTTCCGTCTCCCTCACCCTCTCACCCCCTTGAATTTTTGCGCTCTCAAAATTCCTCAAACAGCGATCGAACGTCTCCTGCAGTGGCTGGCCAGCGACGGCTGGGGCCGACAGAGCAAGCTGGTCGAGGGCCTCGAGGAGGAGGCCGAGGGCGCCATCACCGTCGAGCTGCAGTCGAGGAACATCCCCGGCTTCGACACCTACATGGAGTCGCTCACCCCGGAGAACAATCGGCGTAATCCGTGGTTCGGCGAGTACTGGGAGGAGGTGTTCGGCTGCACCCTGCAGCGCCGGAACGCGGCGGCGGAGCGCCTCGGCCCGCAGATCTCCGGATGGCGGATGACCGGCGCCGGCGGCGGCGGCGGCGGCAGCGGCGGTGGCGGCAATCAGAGTCTGGTCAGCATCTGCTCGCCTGGGCTAAGGCTCAGCGCGGCGAGCGGCTACGAGCAGGAGTCCAAGGTGCAGTTCGTCGTGGACGCGGTCTACGCGTTCGCCCTCGCGCTCAATAAGCTGCGCCGCGACCTCTGCGGGCGCGGCGAGGGCATGTGCTCGTCAATGGCCAACTACGACCGCGGCGCGTTCTATAAGAATTATCTGCTGAACGTGTCCTTTGTAGGTGAGTCCCTCCGATTGACGGCAGGCAGCACCTATATATATATATATATATATATCCGCGTCCGTACAGTATATACCCCGGCGGCAAAACGGGAGCATACAATCGTGACGGCGCGACACGGCGCCGTTTGTCCGCCTCTTTTGTCGCCCGTTCTTTTTCTCGCCCGGCCCTTCTCACCCTTTCTCGCAACCGCCGTCCTCTCCCACCGCCTTTCGTTCTAAGGGTGAAGCTGAAGAACCGCTGAGAGGGGGCAGGGGGCGGCAGAAGGAGCGGAGAAAGGCTGAAGAAGTGCTCGGTGAAACGGCGTTGGACGGGATAATCGACGAAGCGATCGATCTTAAGGGAATTAAATCCCGTCGCGGCTTCGACAAAAATGAGAATCTATCGAAAATAGAGTGCTGTCAAATCGAATTAATTGAGAGCTATTCACGAGCTGCTCTTGGTGCTCGCGTATTATTATTACTTTTTTTAGTGCTTTTTGTTTCGGGATATTATTTTAAGCTCCTGTGGAATTATTACGCGCGCGCGCGCGCGAAAAAGAGAGAGAGAGAGTGAGAGGGGGAGGGAAGCTGTCGTCATCGAAATCGAATCGTTAATTTGGGATATCGCCCCCGGGACTCCGCGGGCCGCGGCGAGTAATAACGCAGTCACCCGACGTTAATATTTTACAGACGCCGCCGGCAGCGAGGTGAAATTCGACGAGCACGGAGACGGCCTGGCGCGATACGAGATCCTCAATTTCCGCAAGGGGACGAACAACAACGGCGGGAACGGCTATCATTATCGGGTAAGGCTCATTCCTTGTGCACCCTAATTACTGTAACGCGCTATTATATCCCTCGCCGATGCATAATTGAACGAACTGTCCGCCCGCCGGGAGCAAGATAAATTCAATTGGAACTCCCGGCCCGAAGGGAGCCCCTCCCTTCGCAAACTTTAGTTTTCGCTCGCTAATATGCAGATGAAGTAGCGCTCGAGATTTTCCGACGGTCGGACAATCTGAGCAGAGTGTTCGAGCCCCGTGTTCGAGAGTTCGAATAGTTAACCGAATCTCCTCCCCTTTCCATTCCACAAAGATGATCACGTTCTAACGATTCGGGTTTCGGCAAAACACAGCAAAGTGTTCGCAGCTTAAATTCATTTTAATGGATCTTTAGAAGGTTGAAGCCAATATCGAGAACGTACCGATATTTTTCTGTTCGTTTCACAGAACTCGATTCTCGTCATCAATTTGAGCAGCGTTCATTACAATTCGAATTCCCCGTGGATATCATTCCGACGAATCTGATTCGAGTTCCGGCAAAATGGCAAAACAATGTGTCGAGCTTTATTTCAGAGCTTTAATCTGGAAATTGCGAAATCAATACCGAAAATATCGTCCCGATATTCCTCGATGTTTTTGAACAGCGGCCGAAATAAAATTCCCCGACAGCTCGGCAAACGTCGCGTGTCTAGTGTTTCCCGGCGTAATCGTAGACTGTTAAATCGGGCAGCTACCGCCATTTATTTACTCGGTGCACGGTATTTTTTGAGTATATATACCCCCAGTTTCTACAACGTATCGCGCGTCGTTAATACGCCGTGTAAAGCCGCGGGGGGGTCCGCGCTCGCGGGCGCGATCGATGTGACGCGACGCGGAATCGGGCCGAAGAGCGAATGCGCGAAGAAGAGCCGCGGCTCTGTCTTTTTAACGAGTAATTAAAGTTGCCCGACGGCTGTACTTTCGAGAGCCTGCGAGAGCTTCCAGGAAATCGCCCGGAGGTAGCCGCGCGAGGTAGAATGAATAGCCCTCCGGCCAAGAAAAATATAACGGTGTTTATAGAGAACGGGAAAATTAGAAGTTAATGGGGGCAATGGAATTGACGTTGAAAGTATAATTAAAATTAAACCAACTGTATCAGTGATTAATAATAACGGAACAAATAGCGATAATGTAGAGAACGTAAGAAATAAATTAAAAAATAAATTACTTTGTAAATTTTTTGTTGCTCAATTTGTAAAATCTGCAGCAACAAAGGACCGTGTCAAAATGTAATTTAAAAAGAAATTACGTAAAGATGGAAAAAATACGTTGAAATCTCTCTCTAAAAATACAGATAAAATATCTGTATTTCTAGAGAGGATGGAATTTTAGAATCATTCAGAATTCTTCTCTTTCTCTCTCTCCCTTCTCTCCCTCTCCCTCCTCTCTTTCTCGCGCGCGCGATTAACTGGCGGTCGACGGAAAATTTGACCGGCTTCCAAATCGCGAAACGAGACGCTTGCGCGCGCTGGGGGGGGAAAGGGGAGGGGAGGGGGAGGTTTCAGTCGCCGGGTCAACCACGTGCCAAAATCTCTCTCTCTCTCGGTCGACAGGTGGTGGGCAAATGGTACAACTCCCTGGACATCCGCACGGAGGAGATGGTGTGGGCGCACGGGACGAAGGACATACCGATCTCCGCGTGCTCGCTGCCCTGCGAGCCAGGTATGATAAAGAAGCAACAGGGTGACACTTGTTGCTGGGTGTGCGACCAGTGCGAGGCGTACGAGTTTGTCTACGACGAGTACACCTGCATGGACTGCGGCCCGGGTTTCTGGCCGCACCCCGACAAACGGGGCTGCTATCAGCTACCGGTCAATCATATCAGGTACGGCGCACTCTTGTCCCGAAATTTTAAATTTCCCCGTGGCGTGACCTTCTCGCTCGGTGACTCGCGAAAGACATATATCGCGGTAGGTTTAATCCCAGGATTGATGGAGACGATCGCGGAATTTTTGGGATAAAGGAGAAGCTATCGATCGCGAGATGAAATTACCTCGGGGATTTACCGCGGAAGTGTGGCTTATGGTGGCTTCCAAGATTATCCGAAAAGAGAGAAGAAAGTGATTTCATCCTTTAAGAATTTTAAGAGTCGTACGTTCAATAGATAAGGTTCGCTTGACGTGAGATTTCTCTGTAAAATTTTAATTTTGGAAAATTTCCAAAATTCAGATTTCGGGGAATGTTAATATTGGGATTAATGGAAACGCGATCGTGGAATTCGGGATAAAGGGAAAAATACTGTAAGACTAATTTAGCTCGAGAATTTACCTAGAAATGTGACTTATGGTCATTTCCAAGATTATCTGAAAAGAGAAGAAAGTGATTTCATTTTTTAAGAATTTTTAGAGCAGTATATTTAATAAACAGCTTGATGCAAGAATTTTCATATAAGTTGGGAATTTTGGAAAATTTCCAAAATTTAACGGATTTCATGCGCGACGAAAGCTCCAGTGAAAACTTTAAAAGGGAATTAATTTATTATTCATTGTATTCTCATTACTGTTTATTTTGCTAAAGTTTAAAATTGCTTTTTCCCAGAATTGCCCTGTAATAGATTGCATTCGCGCTCATTATTATTTATATGTTACCAAAATTTAAAATAAAATTGCTTTCCGAGAATCGAATGTTCGTCTACAATAGAATTGAAAGGGAATTAATTATTACCATAGAATTTGCGGCGTGTTGTGTTTTCCCAAATTGGCCAAACCGAACGGAACCGGGTTGTATCAATTAAACGCGATCCGCGCGCGTTCGCGCGCGTCCACTTTCACCAGGTGGAGCAGCGCCTTCGCCATCGCGCCCGCGGTGATATCCGGCCTGGGCATCGTGGCTACTCTGGCGGTGGCGTGCCTGCTCTTCCAGCACCGCGACACCCCGGTGGTGCGCGCCTCCGGGCGCGAGCTCACCGTGATCCTGCTGGCGGGCGTGCTGGTGTGCTACCTCAACACCTTCGTGCTCCTCGCGACGCCGACCACGGCGATCTGCGTCCTCCAGCGCTTCGGCGTCGGCGTGAGCTTCAGCGCCGTGTACGGCGCCCTGCTCACCAAGACCAACCGGATCGCCAGGATCTTCGACTCGGCCTCGAGATCCGCCGTAAGACCGCGGTACATCAGCCCCACGTCGCAGGTCTGCGTCGCGGCCGCGCTGATCGCCTTCCAGGTAAGGTGGGATCCTGATCCCGATTACAGAAAAACGAAGTGCCCATTTCGAACCAGACTGCAATTTCCAGATAACATATAATTCAAAATCGGAATGTAACAAGTCTTCAAGACTCAAGACGTCTTTTCGACGCATTTTAGAAGTCTCTCATAGAGATGTCTTTAAGGCATCTCTCTCGTAAAGATGTCTTTAATTTTTTGGACATCTTTAAAAACGTTTTATGCTTCGATTTTGGACTTTGTATTGTCTGGATTACTATAATTTAACTATATAATATATAGTCATTTTTGGTACCAACTATATTTGTTTAGTAAAACTATAAATATGATTATCATTGCTAACATTATAGCAACAGTAACTATAAAAATGAAGCTTCTAACCATAATAATTATTTTACCATGCAATATAGTTATAAATACCAAACACTTTTCTCTCAGTGCATTCTTGTCATAGAAGATACGTGTATACTTCTATTCTATTCGATTCTTGGTGATCTTGAATGAGAAAGAAATCTGTAATCTTCGTTTAAAAAATGTCTAAAGTACTTAACTAGAGGTATACTAAAATTTGGTTCGAAATAGGCACTTTAATCGACTTTCGCGCGTTTTGTTTTATCGAGACGGGGAGAGAAACAGAGAGAAAGACGATTTTTCTTTTTAATTTCCCGAGGTGGTGCTGACGCTGGTCTGGATGATCATCGAGCCGCCGGGTACCAGGTACTCGTACCCGGATCGCCGTCAGGTGATCCTAAAGTGCAACATTCAGGACATGAGCTTCCTGTTCTCCCAGCTGTACAACGCCCTGCTGATCCTCATCTCGACCGTGTACGCGGTGAAGACGCGCAAGATCCCGGAGAACTTCAACGAGAGCAAGTTCATCGGCTTCACCATGTACACGACGTGCATCATCTGGCTCGCCTTCGTGCCGATCTACTTCGGCACCGGGAACGTCCACGAGACTCAGATCACGACCCTCTGCGTGGCGATCAGCCTGAGCGCGTCCGTCACCCTGGTCTGCCTCTACTCGCCCAAGGTCTACATCATCGTCTTCCAGCCGGACAAGAATATACGCGGCAAGGTCTGCATGGGCAGCACGTTCAAGAAGCAGGGCAGCAGCGCCGGCGCGTCCTCCATGACGAAATGTGAGGGTGGCACTTCACTCGTTGGTAATTACGAGCTCGTCCCCTCCGCGACCGTCGCCGCGAGCTACGTGATCTGACGGTTAATTTCGTAGGACGGTCTTTTCTTTTTCCCAAAATGCGAACAAAATTGCGTGGCGTGCCACGAAAAATTTTTCTTTTGCAGAAACGGACGTGTAATGCCTCATGTGTCCTCGTTATATCTCGTTTCGCACAGATAATGCTTTGATAATTAATTATCTAACGAAGATGGACAAATGGATACTTCGATAAAATTGACGGAATTGATCTCTTCTATGTGTTAAAAAGTGTCTAGAAAATAATGAGGAGATTATAAAGATGATCGTGAAGATAAGATTACAAAGAAGGGGCAATAAAGGAGCGCCAACGCTTAATTAACGCGACAGTTAATTTAGACGGGACCTTTTTAATCCGAGCTTGAGTGTGAGCCTCTTGCCTACGGAGGATTGATTGTCAGGTCGCGCGCGTGACGTGAGCGTGACGTGGAATAAATAATAATGTAAACGCCGGCGAAGAAGAACGGCGGGGGGGGACAGGGGGGACGAGCGACGGGGCGAGGAGGGGAGAGTGCATCTCACCCCTTTTCCAGAGAGGACGGCTTTAAAAGGGACTCGTAGCGTAAATCCGGCGACTGAATTCACCGTGTGCTGTATCGAAAAATATCCGATATGACATCCGATCCGTGCAGCGCGCCGCGCGACGAATCGGCACCGCTCCGCTCCGCTCCGTCGCCGTTCGCCGGGCGCTCTCTCTCTCTCTCTCTCTTTCTCTCTTTCTCTCTCTGATAAACGGGAACGGGGCGAAAAGAAAGTAATCGATACGCGAGAGGGAGCGACGGCGACGACGACGACGACGACGGCTTGATATTCGATAGTAAAACGCGGCCGGTTTGTAACGTCCCGGCCGGAAAATCTGGGCCAATCCGCGCGGATCCGGAAAGCTTCTAGTTTATTAAACGCTTTATTTATGAGCCGCCCCCCCTGTCCCCGTCCACCGTCCGCGCTTCGCTCGAACGGTCGTTTCCCGTCCCTTACGCGCCTCTTTTCAACCCGGGATCGATTAATAACGTTAATTTCCCGCGTGGAAACTCCCGTTATTGCTACCGTTTGGTCCCGTGATTAACCAGCGGCGTCGGGCTACGCAATCACGAGGCGGATTAAAGGACGTCAGCGCGCGCCCGCTATAATGGTCCCCCCGGATGATTCCGCCCCTTATAAGCGGCGCTAAATTATTAAGTTAATACGGCGCGCCAACGCCAGTTCTGCGGTCCTTTGTCCTCTTGCGAATTTATAGGCGGATTATCCGAGGGAAATTTTAGAAATCCCCCTCGCGTCGCGCGCGACGGCCGCGGCGTGGAAACGGCGATTACGTAATATCGGTCGTTTTCCTTTAAAGCGAATTTTAAAGCTCCGGGCCTCTTCCCGTCTCTCCTCCGCAGCTCCGGGCGTACTCGAGCTTACGACGTCAGAGACGAGAAAAAGAGGGAGTCGCGCGAATTTTTCTTCTCTCCCCCCCTTCCCCTCTCCGGCCCCCTTTTATTTTTCATTTTCATCGAGATAAATTAGCCTTCGATCGCGCTTACACGCGTGTGTTTCATCGATAAAATACACTCCCGCAACTTTTTGTTGCTCCCGCATAGCTTTTTATTACTCCGCGCGTACGAGATTCAATCTGCATTAGTCCTATACCTACCCTCCCGGAGCGGAAATGGACCTTGAATCTATAACGCGATTTACTCGACATCGCTCGACATTTCGACGCGTTCGTTAAAAAATTAACGACATCGTTAGAAAGCAGCGCGGTAGAAGCAGCCAGGGATTTTCGATCGTTTTCTTTTTTTTTTTTTGACAGGGAGAGTCGCGATCAGCTGCTTATCGACTCACGCGCCGAAAAGCCTTCGAGCCTTCGCGGCGATGCGACGGGAGAAAAAAAAAGAAAAGAAAACAGCGGTCTCGACGACCGACTGCAAGAGGAAGATTCGCGCGAATCTTTTCCACAGATTTCCAGTGAAGAAATCTGTGATCTTCTCGCTTCTGACGTCATAATTCGATACGGCTGCGGCTAGAAGGTAACGGGCGCATCCCGCCAAGGTCTTTCCCTTCGACCCGGGGGGGGGGGGGAAGAGATCGGTTTATTACTGAAAATCATTTTATTCATAATGAATTTAAGTTTTTGTCGCGCCCCCCCGGCAGCCGTAACGCCGATACGCCAACGCGGCGACGAAGAAATCCAATTATTTTATCGTGACGGCACGTGTTGACACTGGTCGGAGGTCGGCGGTAGGACCCCACGACCCTCCCTCGAGGGAGTCCGCGCGCGCACGACAATGCATTCCAGGCATTCTCGCTGCCATTCAAACCATTCGCTTCCTGTTTTTCCCTCCTTCCTCCCTGTCCACGGGAGTGACTATAATGAAGCTTCTCTAATTTTGCAGACACGGGCGAGTCGGCGAGCGAGAACGTGCCCATGCAGGGCGCCCTGACCGCGGCGGTGCGGACGTCCGTGGGGGTCACCGAGATCTCGCTGACGTCCAGCACCACCAGCAAGACCAATAACGAGCAAGTGGCGCAGTTGTAGGCTTAAACATCGTGTGACACTACTTGATGCAAGAAACAGAGATAAACAGATAGAAAAAGAGAGACGCACACACGGCGGCGCATCGTTGGATGTGTCCGGAAAGAGAGAGAATGAAATTAAATTAAAATTGTGCTGGCATTGACGTTTATAAATTTTAATCTGTTACCGGAGGAGGAGATTGATAATTGAACTGCAATTCTCGAAAGTCGAATGTCGACGAGGACGCTGAGCGTCTCGCGACCGCGGTTATCGTTCACAGCATCTACCGTCAATCAAGAAAAAGACCGAGAGAGAGAGATCATCGTTATCACGATCGCTGTTGTCGTTATTGTTACTGTTGTCTTTGTGCATAAATTATATACACACATATATATAATAAACAACACACACACACGCACACACACACACGCACACACACACGCGCGCGCGCGCACACACACACACACACACACACACAACATGCGACACGCATAAAAATACATATACGTGCATTTATCGAGCAAGTGTATACCGTGTGATCCACAAATTCTAGTCGAGCACCTCGCGACTTGTATGATTTCGATTAGGAGCGTAAATGTTGATCTCGCGTCAATTCCACCTGTTCGCTTGAGAAACTCTCGTTTATTTATCGGCCGGTTCACACCAGGGGACGCGTCCCCTTTCCTCCGACACTTTCCTCTACCATAATTTTTGAGAGCCGGGAGCCTTCCGACGGGATGATCGTATGCAGTGGACAATAATTAAATAAATGTACTTAAAGCGAGCACAATTAACTTATCCCCGGAATATCGAGAATACTATCCCGGAAATACATTGATTTCGACTCGATTGTTTCCCCAACCCCGCCCCCTCCCCCCAATCACCCCTTTTCTTACGCGTTTTGAAGCGACTGGCGAAAACTGATCGAGTGTTTCGGAAATTGCGCGAGAATTATTACCGCGAAATCGTTCGTCTCTCGTTTTGGAAATATATTAACTACTTGTATCCTTTCCGCGATACCTATTGAACTAAAGAGAGAGATTCTTTTTTTTTGTACGTGTAACCGTCTATTCTCTTTTCTCTCTTTTTTTCTATTACGTCGGGTTTCATAGGATTTTTGAAACGTTTGATCAATTTTGCGAATAACTGAGGAGACGAAGAGAGAGAGAGAGAGAGAGAGAGAGAGAGAGAGAGAGAGAGAGAGAGAGAAGGAGCAGACAGGAAGAGAGAGTGTGCTTAAGGAGAGGAGAGAATCCGCGGGGAGAAAGGAATCTCGCTTCTCTTTCTCTCTCCCCTCTCTTTCCCCCCTTTTTTTCNCCCGGGTTATTCCAAGAGAGAGAACTAGCGCGAAGAGAAGAGAACGGAAGAAGCGAGCGCGAGCGAACACACGAGCAGAG